TGATGTAACTCTCACAACATTGCGCGCCAAATTCGACCCATTCCAGTTTCTCTGTCTCTAGTTTAAAAACGTCTTATATTTGTCTACATGTAGGGTTCTACCAAAGGTAGTACCATACACCCCGTTAAAAATATGTCAAATTCCCAAATTTCAATAAAAGATATTTAAAAAAATGAAAAAAACGTTGCTTTCACGTTTAACTTTGTGGTCGAATTTCTCTAAAAATCGCCAGATTTAGACTAAGACCGGGGATAAATTCGTTATCTACGTTCATATCCGTAGATATGGATATTTTAACACCCTTCAGTACCCTGTACACCCTTCGGCTGCGCCTCAGGGTGTACTTGGATACTTCAGGGTGTTAAAATATCCATATCTACGGATATGAACGTAGATAACTTATAATATCAGTAGAAAAGATGAATCTGTAGCTAGAAGACCAGGATTTATTTTCTTGTGTTAGGATATTAAATGATTGTTAACGTTTAAAATTTAAAATTATGCACAAAGAAGGACTTTTATCAGGTTGGGAACAACACCCCAAATGAGGGGTAACCCCTCAATTAAGGACATTAAAAACCAATTTTAAGTACAAATGAGCATATATCTATCTTATTTGAAGAAACTTTTCCTAAAGAATTATACATCTATCTGGTATTATATGGTCAAAACATGTCCAAGAATTTTGTAATGTTCCTGGATTTTTATCTTCTTTATTATGTTTATTATTAAAAATAATTGGACCCCTCATTTAGAAAAGACTTTAAAGTTGTTCCAAATATAATGAATTTCCCACTTTTAAGTTAAATCAAATAGCTGAAAGCTCTGAGGAAAAATGATGCCACTGTCTATAATATTGTGATATTTTTTATGCAAGTCTTGATTTTCACATACCGTAATAAGTTTAACATTGTAACATGTCTCGTAAGCATATACTTGATATTCGTATATGTGTCTGTTTTTTCAGTACAAATGAATAGGTCAAGACTACCTGAATGATCTACAGTATCCAATTACTACTGGCTGTTTTTTTGTATAAATAAATAGGTCAAGACTACCGGAATGATCCACAATATCCAATGACTACTGGCTATTCTTTTGTACTAATAAAAAGGTCAAGACTATTTGAATGATCTACAATATCCAATGACTACTGGCTGTTCTTTTGTACATATAAATAAAGACTACCTGAATGATCTAAAGTATTCTAAGTAAAGTGATTTTTTTCTTGCAATTACATTTTTCTTAATCAAGAATATAGACTACTAGTATCTTTTTCAAACCAAATGATTATGAAGAGCCTGTTGTTAGCAAGCTCTTATTATACCCCACATACTCATTAAATAAGTTACTAGTGACCTAGTTATTTCTGTTACTTGAAGCAAATTATATTTCTGTATATTTTGACAATAGTATAATATTGTTTTACTAGTTTTATTTCAACTTGAAGATTAGACAAATAGGGATACTCCTTCGATTTTTTATTTCATGTCAGTCAGGTCGCTTTATATGAAACTTGAAACCACTTCTCAGCCATATTGTTATTTTATAACAACTCTGCCCTTGACCATGCTGACCCATGTGATTGATATTCATTCTTTAACCATATATCATAGTCAGTTAGCTTTTGATTTTGCACTCCCACACCACCTTTCATGTCTTTCAGGTCAAATGTCTGTCTCCATTTAAGTTAATGACATTGAACAATCATGGTATTATACACAATTTCAATAGTGATAATGCTGTTCTCGTGGGTCACCATATATTCAACTTGGGTAGCATTCCAGTTATTGAAATTTGTGTCAGATTAGAACAATGATCTAGATCTTTAGGAATGGATCTTATAATTTAATATGGAGCCATAGTATGGGACACCTACACGGTATCAAAAAAAAAAACAAGCTTGAAAGGATACAATGTCAAGCGGCAAAATCTATCACCAGAGATTACAAGTCAAAAGAGGATGGACGGGATACGTCTCTAAAATGCTAGCTGAACTGGAACTACAGCAAGATCTCCAGACAAGACGAACAAAGCGTTGAAGCCAGAAGTTAATATATGTAAAAAGTAGTTGAGGGGCTGATTCCCGCTATTGAACCATACTGTCATTCTATAATATCATTGCGTAAGTATTTCTGTATTGGCCTTGTTATTGGTCCATGTCTTGGGTGTATTGGTCTGAGGCGAAGCGGAAGGCCAACACTGCTGGCCGAGGACCAATAATAAGGCCAATACAGAAATACACGTAATAGTATCTTTATTAATTAACTATCAGTGTTACAATATTTTTTTAATTTCATTTCACAAGAGATAAACATTTTTACCTTGAAGTGGAACTATCCAAATCTCAGTTTCTTTTTATAAGATGCAATATCTAATGATTCGGTGCCGTTTGAAGTATCTTCAGCCTTTTCTCATCTGATGAATTTTTCTACCCTTTCCAGTCACTATAAAGTGTTACAACTTTAATTTAGACACAACACATAAATATTAATTGGACAGGTACTACCATTGGATGTGTAATGCAAATATATTTTAAAAAAATAATGTAAGAGTTGAAATTGATACAACTATCCATAAGCCAATTGACCATAGAACGAAGATTTGCACAATTACAGAATGCATATGCCTGGTTCGGGTTTAAAAATAAACGACCGTTTAAATACAAAACATGAGAAGCGACAGTAAACAGTAAAAATAGATTTGTACCATCGACATGATGAAATTATGAGGTCGTCAAGAAATGAACTTTGTGATAATTTACTCGTTCCCCAAACCTGAAATAATCCCATCCTCTACTTTCAAAATGCTTTTTAAATGAATGGGACCGTCTTTAACCTAAAATATATGCCATACTGAACGTTTCAGCTTGTTTATGGTGAGTAAACCTGCGTCTTACAAACAACTGTTTACTTTCAGTTTGAGTTTATCATGACTTACGATCTAAAAACTAGACACGTTCCGAAATCTTGTTTTGTAAACAAAGATTCATACGCACCGCGTGGGTATAACCATATTACTAATTTCCGATTTTTAAAATCTTCGTAAATCTGGATAAAGACCAGTTTCTATATATCCAATGGATATCAAAATGATTCCGATTTTCACTTTTTTTAATGATTGTAAAGTTGAAATGGCATGAAAGGCTGACATTATTTAGGAGAACTATTTTGTCTAGCGATTGCTGATCATTGGAGGGTAAAAAGTCCAACACCATAACAAAACGGATCTATTTATCATGTATACATACCGATTGTTTACGATTGTAAGACATGTGCATAAAAGTGAAAGCTCGAATAAATATGAAAAATATAACAATGGGATAGCTCCAAATACCATTTAATAACAAAAAACATATGGACAGGTCAAGATATCTTTTTGGTAAATAAAATAAAGTATGTAAACTGGTTCCCGTCCGACTACAACACTTTGTTCGAGTGTAGCGTAATACAAGCAGATTCCAGTTAGTATGTTAAATAGTAAATATGAAACCGAGTGCGGTAGGCGGAGGCAATAATCGACTTCCCTAAGTTCTGGTCAATGGTATCGGAAACATGCCGCTGATAGCGTCATTTTCCAAAAATCTAAATTTTTCTTTTTTCTTTTTTACAACAGTAAAATGACCCTCTGTCTTAATGTCTTGGGGACAGTCCCTCATTTAAGGGATATACCCCTCATTTGGGGGTTTGTTCCATACCTGTTTGTTTGGTCCTTGTGAAAAATGAAGTACAAAATGTATAGTACATTGTACTTTAAATGATTTGCCCCATTTGGTTATTTAATTGAATACAAAAATGACATATGTTATAGCAAGTGTAATGTCAATAAATTAGTGAATAAACTACTATTTATTATCTTTATGGTAGTACTGCATCATTGAATTTTGTCAATAATCCATGCTTTTATTCTTAAGCTGTTTAAGAACCTCCTTGCAGATGAAAATTAACCTTCCATGTTCATGATTTTACAATTCTGACTAACACACAGAGCACTATACAAATCCTTGCACAGAGGAATACAACACAAGTTCAAAATCTAGCATGTTAGAATAATCTTAAGAGAAAACATTTTTGATTGGCTTATTAATTTGATCATGAGAAACACAGAATTTGATTGGCTGATCACGATTGTCTTCCCTTGGGAACAGTTCAATATCGGAAACAATCATATTTTTCTAGTAGATTTTCACAAAATCGTGTTTTAGAGGTTTTTTCACGATCCCGATCGTGCAATCGCGACAAAGAGTCAAAATCGTGTATTTCACGCCTAAATCGTGAAAGTTGGCAGGTATGAGTTCCTATGAATAAATTAGCAGACGAAATAATCATGGAATGGACATAAAGGAAGTAAATGGGAGTGGGCTGGTTTACCGGACACTACTGTATGTTAAGAACAATAAGAAACATTGTGACTAAATTGACTATGGTCGAATGACTTTGGCCACACTAGTACTGACTCAGTACTGAAACCATCCAAAAAGGCAAAACCTGAAAAGAGATTTTTACCAGAGTTGATAAATTCACCAAAAGCAATGCAAGTAATAAAAAAGAAAAAATGAATATTTAGTGCAGACTATGAACTTTTTTGTCAAAATAATGTACACAATAGCTGGTGCTTTCCAGTGGCAATTTCAATTTCCCGCCCTTTATGTGTCATTACGCAATATTTCCAAAAACAATACAAGAGTAAGCTCCCTTTTCACACACGTGAGGGCATTTTTGATTTTGTCCATGGGAACTTTAACAAATTATCACAAAACGTATGGTCTGCAAATCAAATACATGTTTTGCTTTTATTAGCAGTAAATCCTAAATATTTTTTTTTCGAGACATTATCTCTAAAAACTGAATCGGAAAGGCTAACAGTAACAACCTCGGCCTCGTGTCTTTGCTGGACACAGCCTCACAGGCCTGGGAAAAGCACTCAACCCCTATCGCTACTGCCTGTATTTACTGAATGAATAGTCACTAATTAAAAACTAAATATTTTGTTAAACCTACAGGCTTTAAACTGGTAGACATTCGGGTAAACAGGGGAACTCCTCCTCCTGTTGTCAAACATAAAATGTAGGTCGCCATTTCGATGTAAGTTTAACATACGCATGCGCTTACTTACCACAACTTTAGAATGATGGGTAAATAGCATGGCGATGAAGAAGCTGTAAACAGCATCTGTCAAATTTTCGGTTCAGTATCTGGTAAGTTTTACTTGATGACAACATGCACATTTAATGACAGGTAAGCCATGTTTCATGTTAGGTTCGTCCCTGATAATGTAAAGGAATTTTATCGATCAGGATCTTCATTATTGCTTGTTTATTGGAGCACGTGCCCGCAACGCCAATCTGCCGTTACTCATTGTTTTCACTGTATTGGCCACACGACTTGTAATCTTTTGACCCAAGCTGTTACAAATGTTTTCACACATTATGTAATTTGTTTATACAGCAATTACTCAAGTTTTTATTAATGACAGTTCGTGTTGATAAACAACATTGTAATTTTATTGAGAGACAAAGAAATTACGCGCCGTTTATTATTAGTCATCAGTGTGTATACTATATTTACTCAGTTCAATAACAAAGAAATTTAAGCCGATGTATCGATCCATTTCCTCTCAATTAAAAGGTCCTCGACAAAAGCAGTGCCAACAAAATTTAATTTAACAACTTCATCTTACTTTATTTCAAAGTATTTTCAAAGTCAATTGAATTTTCGAGAAGCTAACCATTTATTGACAAAAGTAATTAGACATTCAGAAATTTATTTGTGTATTGCTTAGCTATGATATTGGTTCAGAATGACAAAGATGTGACTTAATGTTTCTTTGTGTTTCTTCATTAGTCATTCTCCTTAATTTATTCATGGAAAACTTCCAAATGGACCAATTCTTAACCATAAAATGTATTACATCCGTTTAAAAACACATTGGTTATTCTCATGATTGATTTAATTTTGATACAGAATTCTAATAAAACAATGAAAAGAAATATTCAGTTGACAATTTCTAATGTCACATCAAGGCACTCAATGTCAAACTTATATGACTTTTAGATTGAATGATTTATTTAGCTTTAAAAGATTAAAAGAAAAGTGATATAACAATTTCTGTTTACATTATTAAAGAGTTTGGATTCCTGACACAAATTTGATATTATTGTTTATAAACATGTACTTTTTGAAATACTTTTAGTTAACTGAAGTCCCTGTTAAGCCTTGATTACAGTCTTTATATCATCTCTGTTCTACTAGTATCTGGATATATATACATGTTTTATGTATAGCAATTATAAGAATAAGAAAATAATTTTGAAGAAGATCTTAAAACTTATTGAATAATGCATTTTTAAGGTTCTTCTTTAATAAGGCAAATAATGAAATTCATTATAAGCATGATTAGGGAATATGTCATTTAATTTTGAAGCAACAATACATCATTTCTTTGAAGTTTAAAAACCAAATTCCATTGAAATTTGATTTAGATTATTTCATTGTTAAATGTAATTTCTGTGTCTATTTAAATAGGTTTATATTAAGAGTAACTGAAATCAAGTAAAGAACATCAAGTGAAACAGCTCGCATCAAAAAGGCAGCATCAAAGTTTTTGCAATTCTGAAGGTAAGTGAAAAAGAAAATATATCTGAATCTTTTTATTTTTTTCACAACCATTTTAATTTGGAAACCTTGCAAATGACATTGATTTTATTTGGTAGATTGGTGTTAACCTGATTATAGTTCTAGCGAAATGTACAATTATACCTTTGCAAAGTATGGAGAAACTGTTTCTATTAAATGAGATAACATATCTATAATAAAAACAAATTGGCAAGAAAAAAAATTTCACTTTTTAGGCAGAACAATAATTGAAAAACAAATAAAATCTTACAGGGATCATAAATCAGATATTCAACCAGCTTTTCCTGCTTATTAATAGAGCTGACTTGCAGGATGTTTTTAAAAAGACTATTCAAGATTTATTTCTTTCAGAATCCTTTTAATTTATTGGAATTAGAGGGGTTTCCAGTCCAAGTGTAGGATTGATCAATATTTTTTTTACAGTAGTTCTAATTGATATACAATTAGGACAGCTTGGGTTATGTCAGCTCCTTATTCACACATGTTCCTGGAAGATTGATAAAATTGAATAGATAAGGCCCAGATTTCTGTGAAAATGATTCATTTATACCCATCCTTTCATGTCTGAGGAACATCACCATTATTGATGTTGATCATCTAAAAGTCTCAGTGAGGCCTAAAACTTGAGTATTTCATGGCAAGTTCAATGTGCCCCCCCCCCCTAGCCTTGGTTAGAGCTGAATTATTGTTCAATGTTGTTAAAGCTGCATAGATCTATGCATTGGAAGAACATATATTTTGGTCTGCTGGGTTTTCATGGAACATCCTGAATACTGATACAGTTGAATTATGTTTAATTCCTCACTCAATAAGCTTTAAAAAATAGATAATCACATAAAGTTTGATTTTACCATAAAATCAGTGAAGACATTTAAGTCACCATCTCAAATATCAATTGGAGGGGCCTCGGTGGCCGAGTGGTTTAAGTAGTTACTACTGTAATCACTAGCCAGTCAACACTGAGGTTTTGAGTTCGAACCCCGCTCGTGCAGGTGCACTTGACTCCAATCTTAATTGACTAGGATTGTCAGTTTTCCTATCGAAGGTCGGTGGTTTTCTCCGGGCACTCCAGCTTCCTCCACCAATAAAAACTGGACGCCACGAAATAGCCCAAAAGCGGTGCTTAAAAGTGGCATTGAAACACCACAAATCCAAAAATCAATCAAATATCAATTGGTGACATTCAGGGGTCGGTAATTTGGAGATGAGTACATGCATTTAGAGCAATAATCCAGCTAACAGTAACTTGAACATACTACAGGTTTTGATTTATAGATGTTAAAGCTGTGTCAAACAAAATATTTTTAATAAAGGATGTCTTAAAACCATGAATATTGATTTTAACTTGAGGAGGAGGGGGTAGAAAAGATATAAGAATGGATACACATGATACAAAATTCCCATGAATTACAATGAAGTAATGAATATTATTTAGAGGATGGAACTAATTAATTAGGTTTATTAGACCTTCATCAGAGATGCTTGGAAGTCTTTTGCAATGATTTAAAAGGACTCATATCTTATGTAAGATCATCATAACTTTCATTAGAGAACTTGACAATGAAAGAAGGCTTAAATAGCATTGTAAAAATAGAACAGCATGTATAAATAAGTAAAAATCTGTGTCATTATTAGACATGCCAGATATGACTATATATGAAAAATACTAATGAAGATTTTTGCTTCCATTTTTCAGTACTTAAAATCATTTAACTTCCCATTTTAAATGAATTTGTCAATAAATTAATATATTTTGTAAAGTAAAATAAATTTTATTTTATTGACAAATGTAAATAAATTTATAAAATATGCATGAAGTTCAAATAATGGTCATATAAATGATTCACAAAAAAATCATGAATCATTAATTTCATTGCTAGTGACTTTTTCCATTATTTTATAAGAAATAGAATATTATAGCTATAATTGAGAAACTAGAACAGATGGGATCTGCAACTGTAGTCTTTTTTTATTGATATACCCCAAAAGTAATTAGAATTTTACACTCAAGTATAATATCCATGAGCTTTTGTTATGGTGTATAAAATTTGTCATATATTATTGTTCAAAATGAAATGTTCTGAATTAATAAAACATAAATTAGAAATTTTCAATAGTGTTTATGTGTGGATAGATGATGAGATGTTTGCTTTACTAAATGTTGACCTGCAGTGGTCAGTGTTTAAGGGTAGGACACCCCGGTCAGAGGGTCAGTCTTTATAGCAGTTACAGTGGCAGGTGCCCCATCCTATCCAATCAATAAAAGGAAACTGTATTTAATTGTAATAAAATGGGTGTATGTCTATATCTGAAAGCCATGTTATTTCAAAACTTGATTTATTCTGATTCCTTTGTGTCAGGTCTTTCAGCCACATAATTAGTCTTGCATAAATCGTCAGAGCGTAAATGTTTGATTACAAGCCTTATGTATAATCAGATGAGAAATAATATAGAAAGCCTGACAGATTTCTGATAAGTTTTTGATGTCTTTGTTTAATTACATTTATCCCAAGTACAGCATTTAGAAATAGGTGTCCAGATGGCCTAGTACGTGACAATGTATCTCTGTCCTGGAGTTTCCAGCATGGAAAGTCTATATTTGTAATGATGATGCTGTATAATATAAAGTGGCTCAGATCATTCACACACTTTTATCATAATTGATAAATATGGATGTGGAAATTTGAAAAGGCTGCAGGCCAGTTAAAATACAACATGCTTGCTATAGTAATTATTACTTTAAAATATCCAACCTCATTAATTTTTCCTGTTACCCTAAAATGGATAAAATGAGAGGGAAATTCTTCTTTATATTTTTAGATAAAAGGACTTCATAAAAACATTTGAGTTTCTACCTTTAGTATTGCTGGATATTCAATTTCATTAGGTTCCTTTTGAAAAAAAATGGTTAATTTTTGGCTGCAAAATAACCTTTGTCAATTAATCTTTCTTGAATATTCATGACTCAATAAGTAATTAAAAGGTTGGCTCTATAGTTTTACCCTTGTTTTACTTCCAATATTCTGTCATAATGAAAATATATCAGTTAACCACACTTTTTTTCCAGAGACCCTTTATGAACAAAAGCAGGCATGGGGTACACATCAATCGGACAGAAACCAACCACACTAAGTTTTGTTTTTTTGCAGTGTCAATCTCTAAATTGTCCTGAGTCTACAAAGAGTTGTCCAGTTCTGATAAGCTTTCAGTTACAAAAAAAAAATGAAAAAAAAGAAGAAACTATATGACATTCATTTAAAAAGAGAAAAAAAGATTTTTTTTTTTTTTTTTTGAAAGACCTAATTTGTTTTATGATACTCTAAAAGTAAAAGATGTTATTTTAGTTTTTGCTTCTTTTTTCTTCAAAATAATTCTGTTACAAGTAACAATATGTGACCTAATGATGTCATTACTTTCTTAATGGCTCAAGCTTAACATGTTTAAATGAAATAATAATTTGTATGTGCAAGGTCAAGAAAACCTTAGACCAATTCTTCCCCCAGGAGGCTAGGGCATTTATTGAAGTTTTATATTGATAATAATGACTCTGCAGATACACTTTCATTGCACATTAAACATAATGATTAGGTTTCTGTGGTGAAGGGTTGAAAAGGTGAAATGGTGTAATTGCTTAGTAAATGTAAAAGATCAGATATGGCCAGGTCACTCATGCCATGCAGGTAATATCATTTCAAAATTTGTAAGGTTTTGTGGTTAATAATCTAGTACACAATTTCCAATTGGTAAAGCAGGATTAATCCCTATTTGATGATGAAATACAAGAATTCAACTTTTAGGTTTCATAATCCATCTACAATCTTAAACTTTACATTTGTGTATTTTGCAAACCAAGTCTTTTTTGAGGGACTAAGAGTATGTATGAGGGAAAAGGATTTTTTTTTTATTAACATGTCAGATGCTAAAGAAAATTCATTCTTAGCTGATACAGGGTTAACACAATTAAAACAATACTAGTTTACAAGAAATATATATGATATTTAATTATAAATATTACCTTGGCTTCTCAATCAGCTGTAAAAGGGACCTTAGTAAAAAAAGCAAAGTCAAACTTGGATACCAGTACTGAGGGCATACAATTTTATGTAAACAAATAGGAAAATGTTGAAAAGACCAAAAGATACTATTGATTTAGTAACAAAATCTACTATTTCTTGTGACATTTCACAGTTGGCATTCTGTGGATTGTGGATATCTGATATATAAATGTTGTAATATTGAAATGCCCTTAAAAAGCTTAAGAACATAACTGACCTAAGTGTTAATCTACATATCATGGAAGTCTGATCAGATTGGTGCTGGTGGCTTTCTTGAACTTGCGACAAGGATGTAAATGTTTGCTAGGTGTTCAAAAGCCTATCTGTGACCTTTGAAATGAAGAACAGCAATAAATAACTTCCTTTGCTTTGGTTTTGTCAAGTGTTTTATGTCATTTTGTGTTTTGAATTTATGTACCATAATTTGTTTGTTTTAATTTTATTAAAACACAGAAATTAGATGCTGTTTCTTTGTTCTTGTTTAAAACTCTAGAGAAAAACTTATAGATCTACATACTTAAATAACAGAAATTTATTACCAAACATTACAGAGAGAGAAATGCATAGATCTACATACTTAAATAATAGAAATTTATTACCAAACATTACAAAGAGAAAAAACATATAGATCTACATACTCAAATAACAGAAATTTATTACCAAACATTTTTTGACATCCTTACAACTGTAATCTTTTGTTGTCAATTATATTCAAAAGAAACTGTAGTTACTCAGTATCATGTTGAAAAAAAATAAAAACCACTTTTCTCAAGGTTCTTACTAAAACAATAAACATTAAACTTGTTTGGTTGGGAAAAACACAATTCCTAAAATGTACTTATATCTTTAATTTAAAACGTGTTTTTCCGTAAAATTATTTAGTTTGAGAAAGAAATTTATTCAGAAAGTTGTAAAGTATACCCTTCC